CCCAACCATCCTCTACCACCATCGCTTGGGTCACCCCAACTTCCGTACACTTGCCGACATCGCTTCCAAGAAACTTCTTCTTGGCCTCCCGTCGGCGCTTCCTCCACCAACAGACTCACCTGCACCCACCTGCCTGGACTGCACCAAGAGCAAGCTCAGGCAGCAGCCGCATCTTTCCTCCCCATCCGTCGCAGCTGCTCCGCTGGACCTAGTGCACATGGATGTCTGGGGCCCAGCTCCAGTCGCATCCCGAGGCGGTCATCGGTACTTTCTTACACTAGCCGATGACCACTCGCGGTATGTTTCTGTGCACCTCCTGCATACCAAGGCGGAGGCACCTGATGTCATCATGACGTGGGTGCGCCAGGCTCAAGTCACGTTCGGCACTCCTCTGAAGTGCCTCCATTCTGATGGCGGGGGAGAATTTCGCAATGGCAAACTCGATAACTTCTGTGCGGCCCAAGGGATTCGGCAAACCTTCACGCTCCCCGAAAGCCCGCAGCAGAATGGCATTGCAAAGAGCCGCAACCACACCTTGGTTCAGATCGCTCGCTGCCCCCTCAGTCACGCCAACGCACAACGGTCACTCTGGGGATATGCCCTCTTCCATGCGGCACTCCTCTACAATCTTTATCCGCATCCCCACCGGCCCGACACCACACCTACCGCTCTCTGGCTTGGGGTCACGCCTTCCGCCCGCTCTCTACGCGTCTGGGGGTGTACCGCATATGTGTTACTAAGCCCCCACACGCGCAGGAAGCAAGGTGGCAAGCTTGGTCCCAAAACCCAGACCTGCATGTACCTGGGGCACAACTCCGACTCCCCAGACTACTTATTCCTCAACCCAATCACCAGACAGCTGATTCGCAGCCGTGATGTCGTCTTCGATGAGACACGCCCATTCCACTCTGCGACCACGGGCGAGCCTCCTCCACCTCCCCCGACGCTTGTTTGGGCAGACTTCGATGCCCCACCTCCGGCCGCTGCGCCTTCTCCGGGGCCTTCTCCGTTCGGCGTGTCTCACCCGGCCTCCCCAGTATCCTCCGCAGCGGCACCTCCTCCTGCTCCGCCTTCCCCGCGCGTCGCGCCCGGCTCACCAATTTCCTATCTGAGGCGCCCAGTCCCTCCGGTCCCACCGCAGCCGCCTTCGTCTCCGGTCTCTAGTCGCACTCGTTCCAAGGGACCGGCTCCGCCTCTCGCCTGGGGACCAGCCGCCTTCTCCATCCGGTGTTCGGTCACCCCGCCTCCTCCTGCTGGGGGTGATGTCCCCTCCATCCGTATTCCCCCCCGTGCACTTCTGTAGGACAGGCATGAGGAGCTGTTTGACCTTCACGCGGTCTGCCAATTTCTCTCTCACATCTTCCCGGACATTACTGACTGCCCTTCCCTCAACGTCGGCGGAAAATGGATCTTCCGAGTCAAACAACTCCCACGCGAAGCTCCACTGTTCAAGGCACGATACGTGGTAAAGGGTTTCACCCAGAAGGAGTATCTCGACTTGTTCGAAACATTCTCGCCGACGGCCAAGCTCCCGACTGTGCGCGCTCTTCTTGATATAGCCGCTTCGGCAACTTCGAGATCAAGTCCATGGACGCCTCCTCCGCCTTTCTCCAAGGCCAGCTCAAGGAGGATGTTCACATGGAACGCCCACCGGGGTTTCCTGGCACTTACCCTGCCAACACAGTGTGGAAGCTGAAGCGCCCAGTGTATGGCCTCAAGCAGGCTCCTCGTGAGTGGCACAATGAGGTGAAGGAAGTCCTCCTCCCACTTGACTTCCATCCCTCTGCCTCAGATTCCAGTCTCTTCGTTCGCCATTCCTCCGAGCTCTTCTACATCCTCGTCTACGTCGACGACTTCATTCTAGCCGCCAGAGATCCAGCCAACATGGCAGCTGTCCAGTCTGCTCTCAGCTCCGCCCTTCTCATGAAGGATCTTGGTGACCTCAAGAACTACCTGGGGATGGAGATCACTCGTGACCGCCAGGCTTGCACGATCACCCTCTCCCAGGAGTCCTACATCGACAACCTTCTCAAGCGGTTCGACATGGACTCCAGTAACTCTGTCTCCACTCCACTCCCACTACAGCATCAGCTCACGGCCCCTCCAGTTCCTTCTCCTGACGCCTGCAAGGACCCGTACCCTGAGCTAGTCGGTTCACTCATGTATGCCATGATGTGCACTCGACCAGACTTGGCTTACCCGGTTAGTGTCCTCTCTCGGTACGTCTCCCCCGGACGCTACACTGCCTCGCATTGGTCTGCAGCCAAGAGGGTCCTCCGCTATCTACAAGCCACCAAGTCTCACATCCTCACTCTTGGTGGTACCTCTCCAGTCAAGCTCGAGGGATACACAAACTCCTCATGGGCCGATGACCAGACTGACAGACGCTCCTCCCAAGGGTACTGCTTCACCCTTGGTAGCGGAGTCATCAGCTGGCGCTCCACTCGGTCCTCTGCAGTCTCCCTGTCGTCCTGCGAGGCCGAGCTCTACGCGGGCACAATGGCTGCTCAAGAGGCACGCTGGCTCTCCTTTCTCCTCGCTGAGTTAGGCTACCCCAAGCAGTCACCCACCCTGTGGTGTGACAACCAGAGTGCCATTCACCTTACCAAGGATCCTGTGTTCCACTCTCGCACCAAGCACATCGAACTTCGTCATTTCTTCATTCGAGATCTTGTTCAGAGTGACCAGCTGACGGTACGGTACATCGCCTCAGATTGCAACCTCGCCGACCTCTTTACCAAGGCTCTTGGCAAGGCTGACCACCATCGCCTTCTCCGTTCCATGGGGCTATGTGCTCCTTGACCGGGTTTGCAGTCTATGGGGGTGTGTTAGAAATAGACCGCACATACCACTTTTGTATTTGTACTTTTATATCCTAGTTTAGATTGTGAATGTTCTAGTGGGTTGGGGTGTACTCACAAATCCCAACCTCACCCAATTGTGATCCCCCCAATCTCCAATTACCCAATTGGAGATTCCGGAGATCCCAATGAGGATTCCCTCCAATTCCCCCTTCATCCATTCACTCTCACCTTGCCATGTAGTTATAGAGCCTTGGGCTCCTTACCTAATCATATATTTCAACTCTATTTCTTACATCTGGTGCGACAACCCCAGCACTATCCATCTCACAAAGGACCCTGTCTTCCATGGCCTCTCCAAGCACATTGAACTCCGCTACTTCTTCGTTCGGGAGTTGGTCCAGCAAGGTCACTTGGTAGATCGTCGTCGCGCTCGACCTTTACGAGGCTGTCCCACGTCACCAGCAACTTACTGAACAGGTATATGATAGACGCTCCCGCCCCCACAGCAACGGCCTTTAGAATCTTGCTGATTGTCTGTAGGAAGTCATCGGGAGAAGAAAAGATAAAGCTTGAAAGACATTTCGATGTGACTCAAATACACAGAAGTGGTGCAGATACATATCGTTGGCGGAGAACCGCAGAAATGGGGGCTGCATGTTCAGAAACCAAAGACGCACCCCTTCGCTCTGGCACTTCATGATATTCAGCCGAGCCTTCATGTCCTCGACGACAGAGTCGTGGTGCCCTGATGGCAGTCTGTCACGCCAATGCTCCACCTCGACCTGCTTCTCTGTCAGCAACCTGGTCACAACCGCAAGCAAAGTGTCAATATGGGCCATGTTTCTGCAGGATATTAAAACCGAAAGAGGATAGTCACTCACTTTACAACACTCTTTGCGAATTCTGCATTGCTGAGCTGCGAGTGGTGTCCCTTGGGATCGTAGTGCACAATATGTTATGACCACAATAGGCTCAGATGTGCCTATAATGATAGATGGAGAGCACAGTCGGATTTGATAACAATCTGCTCGCTGACTCAAACGGTAATCTGTAAGTTGGATCTCGAGCGCGTTGCTGTCGCCTATGTTGGTGCATATTCATTTGCACGTCATCCTGTCGTCTGTTCGCATCATTTCGTTTGCATGTGTTTTGTGTGCTACGTTGTTTGTATGGTTTGTTGGGTTTGCATGTCTTTGTATGTTCATCTTGTGCTTGTGCAGATGTGCTAGGATTGTGCATGACATCGAGCACATTCCAACGAGCCAAGAATTGTTGGAATCGGAGCACATATGAAGAAGTTACGAAGAAATGTTTGATGGATTTGTTACAACTCGTTGGAAGTCCTTGTCAGCTGCTACACCGAAGTTGGAGAGCCCTATAACGAGGAGGGACCAGCATGTGTGGGACTTTTGTCCCCACCTTGCAGCTGCAGCATTTGGGGTTTGGAGGCCAACCTGGCACAGTGTGAATTTTGTCTTGCCAGGCTGGCTGAACCTGAGGATGGGGAGTCAAAACTTTGACTCTTGTCATGTTCTTGACCATGGGCCTCCAGGGTCCTTCCCTTTCATCCTTCCCTTCCTACCCCACCTTCCAACTGTGCTTCAATGCCTTTTCTATCATGCCTCTGATCTTGTAAGCTTCAATCATAGTGACTCTGAGGACTGTCAACTTCTCCTAGGGCAGATTACCCCCCAGTGCGCCAAACGCCATAGCTCACTCGTTAAGCTACGGAATCGAGTGATTCAACTTTCAATGGAAAGCTGACGCTGCCAGCTACAACATATCCGATTTTCATATCGTTTCACCGATTGGAGTTTTGGATATAGCTATTCGAAGGTCGCGAGTTTTCTGGGCGTCATAACGAAGTGCTGCAGAAATTTCCAAGGAGCCATTGAATCATCTGCTTATAGCCTTCTCTAACCAACAAGTGGTATCAGAGCCTATTATCATGCATTTGGGACCTAAAATACGATGGGAGATAAGGAGGACTCTGGTGGAGGTGATACTTCAGTCCAAGGAGGCAGCTCAACCCAAGATTCTGGCATTGCAGGGCAAAGGGTGTTGGTTAGAGAAGGCTATAAGCAGATGATTCAATGGCTCCTTGGAAATTTCTGCAGCACTTCGTTATGACGCCCAGAAAACTTGCGACCTTCGAAAAGCTATATCCAAAACTCCAATCGATGAAACGATATGAAAATCGGATATGTTGTAGCTTGCAGCGTCAGCTTTCCACTGAAAGTTGAATCACTCGATTCCGTAGCTTATCGAGTGAGCTATAGCGTTTGGCGCACTGGGGGGTAATCTGCCCTAGGAGAAGTTGACAGTCCTCAGAGTCACTATGATTGAAGCTTACAAGTTCAGAGACATGATGGAAAAGGCATTGAAGCATAGTTGGAAGGTGGGGTGGGAAGGGAAGGATGAAAGGGAAGGACCCTGGAGGCCCTTGGTCAAGAACATGACAAGAGTCAAAGTCTTGACTCCCCATCCTCAGGTTCAGCCAGCCTGGCAAGACAAAATTCACACTGTGTCAGGTTGGTCTCCAAACCCCAAGTGCTGCAGCTGCAAGGTGGGGACAAAAGTCCCACACATGCTGGTCCCTCCTCGTTTTAGGGCTCTCCAACTTTGGTGTAGCAGCTGCCAAGGACTTCCAATGAGTTGTAACAAATCCATCAAACATTTCTTGGTAACTTCTTCATATGTGCTCCGATTCCAACAATTCTTGGCTCGTTGGAATGCGCTCGATCTGATGTACAATCCAAGCACATCTGCACAAGCACAAGATGAATATGCAAAGACATGCAAACCCAACAAACCACACAAACAACGTAGCACACAAAACGCATGCAACGAAATGATGCGAACAGACGACAGGATGACGTGCAAACGAATATGCACCAACAAAGGGGAGCGCGTACAAGCCAGGGGTCACTGCTTAAGGAGGTGCTGAAGAACTTCACCATTGAGAAGTTCTCTGGAGATGGCTATGATGATTGGGCATGGAAGATGCAGCTCTACTTTCGACAAATTGTCCTCTTGAAGCTCATGATTGGAACGGAGCCAAGGCCAAAGGAAATGGCAGAGCAAGCGGACTGGGATGAACGTTCATCTGCTGGGTATTATCTACTGTCACAAAGCTTGGAGCTGAACCAGAGGCATCACATCATGCATCTGCTACCGGAAATTGATTGTGGGCCCAAGGCATGGGCAGTGCTCAAGGACCTGCACGCTCCGACATCGGTTGCCGCTTCTCTCATGCTGGATCGGGAGCTGTCCATGCTGCGGTTGAGCGAGAATGAACCTGTGCAGCCCGTACTGGACAAGATGAGGGAACTCTACGCGAAATTGGCGATTGCAGGCATCACGTACCCAGAGCAGACAAAGTGTCTCAAGATGCTCAGCCTGCTGCCGGAGTCTTGGCTGCAATTTATAAGCGGACTCAGCTTGCCACAAAACCAAAGTCAATGGACATTGGAGTGGATTCGCACCAAGATTCTGGAAGAAGATTTTCGTCGCTATACACTGCGCGGAGGTGATGACAGCACCAGCGGCTATGCCATGCAAGGGACATGGAGGGATCGAGGGCGTGGCAATCGCGGTCGCTCTTACCACAGCCAAGGTGGTCGCGGGACTTGGAACCAGCGGGGGCGTGGTGGCGCTGGTGCAAGAGGAAGAGGTGGTCACTCCAACAATGACAACAGTGAACCACGCTTGAGGGGAGAGTGCTGGTATTGCAAGGAAGAAGGGCATCCATGGTTTCGCTGCCCTACCAAGCCCGACTGGTGGACCCCTTGGAACCAATCGCAGAAGGGGAATGGAGGAAAGCAACCACATGGAGGTGCCAACATGGTAGCTGATCCTGCTGAAGAAACCTCCAAGGATGACAGAGGAATGGGAAATGAGGAGAGGAATGCTGGACAGTTCTACCATGTGTGTGACAAAGATGACAGTGGCACAGCTGTTGCAAGGGCTGGAGAGGAATTGCACCCGCTTGACATGTGCCACTGCCATGCATCCGAACACTCTGAGCATGTCCACTGGAGGCTTCTTTCCAAGCCACCTCTCCAGCGGCACCCACATATCATCAGCTACCTTTGTGAGTACGCGGTTCCTTGCCACTGTAGCATGCCTCACCGCGTGAGGCCACATGGAGTTCCCCAGCCCTGATTCGATCAGCAGCGCTCGCGCAGTTTCCAGGATGGTCCTATTAGCCCTCTCAGCAACGCCATTTGACTGAGGGGTATAGGACGTCGTTAGCTGATGCTCAATGCCTTGTTTCTTGAGCCACGCAGTCAGATCTCCTCCTAGAAACTCTCCACCTCGGTCGGTTCTGATGCTCTTGCATGGGTGCCCAGATTGTCGCTCGACGAGTGGCAGCCAGTCATCTCGTATTATTGAGGCAGCATGATCCTTCTGCTTCAACGGGTATGCCCACATCAGCCGGCTCCAGTCATCAACTATTGTTAGGAAGTATCTTTCCCCCTTTCTTCCTTGAACTGGAAAAGGTCCTACCAGGTCCATGTGCACCAGTTCCAGTGCTGCCCAGCTACGCCGTGAAAGGGGAACCGTGTGAACTTGCTCAGCAGACACGTCTCGCACTTGGTATCATTTGGTTGCCCAGAAAGCTTCAGCCCCTTTACTGCTTCTTCCTTATGCAGTTGCTGCAGCAATGGCATAGCCACATGCCCTAGACGCCTGTGTGCGGTTTCCCAATCAGTCTCCCCCGACCTTGCAGAAACCATCACTCCTGCAGCACTAACTGCATTGCACTCCCCCTGGACTCCAGATCCCGCCTTTACTACTCCCAGCTCCTTCTTTGTTGATTCCCATATCAGCGCAGGGATCTGCCACATGGATCTGAAGACATCCCTGCTTTCGTGTAAATCCCATAACACACGATCTCCTCGCAGCCCCTTGAATGTTTTGGATCCATTGGTGGTGGTGCTGACTCCGGCCTGGCCTAGCTTGCGCAGCGATATCAGATTGGCCTTCAGCCCCGGTACGAGTAACACATCCTTCAGCACAACCAGTCCACCATCAGGTGCTCTGAATGCAGCTCGACCAACTCCAGCGACCTTCACTGCATGTCCGGATGCTGAGCGCACTTCAGAGATTGGAGGCGCTCGCACAGCATCCAGCAAATCCTTGCGTGGTGTCATTGTCCATGCAGCACCAGAGTCCATGACCCACATGTCAAGCGGGTGCAATTCCTCTCCAGCCCTTGCAACAGCTGTGCCACTGTCATCTTTGTCACACACATGGTAGAACTGTCCAGCATTCCTCTCCTCATTTCCCATTCCTCTGTCATCCTTGGAGGTTTCTTCAGCAGGATCAGCTACCATGTTGGCACCTCCACGTGGTTGCTTTCCTCCATTCCCCTTTTGCGATTGGTTCCAAGGGGTCCACCAGTCGGGCTTGGTAGAGCAGCGAAACCATGGATGCCCTTCTTCCTTGCAATACCAGCACTCTCCCCTCAAGCGTGGTTCACTGTTGTCATTGTTGGAGTGACCACCTCTTCCTCTTGCACCAGCGCCACCACGCCCCCGCTGGTTCCAAGTCCCGCGACCACCTTGGCTGTAGTAAGAGCGACCGCGATTGCCACGCCCTCGATCCCTCCATGTCCCTTGCATGGCATAGCCGCTGGTGCTGTCATCACCTCCGCGCAGTGTGTAGCGACGAAAATCTTCTTCCAGAATCTTGGTGCGAATCCACTCCAATGTCCATTGACTTTGGTTTTGTGGCAAGCTGAGTCCGCTTATAAATTGCAGCCAAGACTCCGGCAGCAGGCTGAGCATCTTGAGACACTTAGTCTGCTCAGGGTACGTGATGCCCGCAATCGCCAATTTCGCGTAGAGTTCCCTCATCTTGTCCAGAACGGGCTGCACAGGTTCATTCTCGCTCAACCGCAGCATGGACAGCTCCCGATCCAGCATGAGAGAAGCGGCAACCGATGTCGGAGCGTGCAGGTCCTTGAGCACTGCCCATGCCTTGGGCCCACAATCAGTTTCCGGTAGCAGATGCATGATGTGATGCCTCTGGTTCAGCTCCAAGCTTTGTGACAGTAGATAATACCCAGCAGATGAACGTTCATCCCAGTCCGCTTGCTCTGCCATTTCCTTTGGCCTGGGCTCCGTTCCAATCATGAGCTTCAAGAGGCCAATTTGTCGAAAGTAGAGCTGCATCTTCCATGCCCAATCATCATAGCCATCTCCAGAGAACTTCTCAATGGTGAAGCTCTTCAGCACCTCCTTAAGCAGTGACCCCTGGCTTGTACGCGCTCCCCGTTGCGCTGCAATGCCAGAATCTTGGGTTGAGCTGCCTCCTTGGACTGAAGTATCACCTCCACCAGAGTCCTCCTTATCTCCCATCGTAATTTAGGTCCCAAATGCGTGATAATGGGCTCTGATACCACTTGTTGGTTAGAGAAGGCTATAAGCAGATGATTCAATGGCTCCTTGGAAATTTCTGCAGCACTTCGTTATGACGCCCAGAAAACTTGCGACCTTCGAAAAGCTATATCCAAAACTCCAATCGATGAAACGATATGAAAATCGGATATGTTGTAGCTTGCAGCGTCAGCTTTCTACTGAAAGTTGAATCACTCGATTCCGTAGCTTATCGAGTGAGCTATAGCGTTTGGCGCACTGGGGGGTAATCTGCCCTAGGAGAAGTTGACAGTCCTCAGAGTCACTATGATTGAAGCTTACAAGTTCAGAGACATGATGGAAAAGGCATTGAAGCATAGTTGGAAGGTGGGGTGGGAAGGGAAGGATGAAAGGGAAGGACCCTGGAGGCCCTTGGTCAAGAACATGACAAGAGTCAAAGTCTTGACTCCCCATCCTCAGGTTCAGCCAGCCTGGCAAGACAAAATTCACACTGTGTCAGGTTGGTCTCCAAACCCCAAGTGCTGCAGCTGCAAGGTGGGGACAAAAGTCCCACACATGCTGGTCCCTCCTCGTTTTAGGGCTCTCCAACTTTGGTGTAGCAGCTGCCAAGGACTTCCAATGAGTTGTAACAAATCCATCAAACATTTCTTCGTAACTTCTTCATATGTGCTCCGATTCCAACAATTCTTGGCTCGTTGGAATGCGCTCGATCTGATGTACAATCCAAGCACATCTGCACAAGCACAAGATGAATATGCAAAGACATGCAAACCCAACAAACCACACAAACAACGTAGCACACAAAACGCATGCAACGAAATGATGCGAACAGACGACAGGATGACGTGCAAACGAATATGCACCAACAAAGGGGAGCGCGTACAAGCCAGGGGTCACTGCTTAAGGAGGTGCTGAAGAACTTCACCATTGAGAAGTTCTCTGGAGATGGCTATGATGATTGGGCATGGAAGATGCAGCTCTACTTTCGACAAATTGTCCTCTTGAAGCTCATGATTGGAACGGAGCCAAGGCCAAAGGAGATGGCAGAGCAAGCGGACTGGGATGAACGTTCATCTGCTGGGTATTATCTACTGTCACAAAGCTTGGAGCTGAACCAGAGGCATCACATCATGCATCTGCTACCGGAAATTGATTGTGGGCCCAAGGCATGGGCAGTGCTCAAGGACCTGCACGCTCCGACATCGGTTGCCGCTTCTCTCATGCTGGATCGGGAGCTGTCCATGCTGCGGTTGAGCGAGAATGAACCTGTGCAGCCCGTACTGGACAAGATGAGGGAACTCTACGCGAAATTGGCGATTGCAGGCATCACGTACCCAGAGCAGACAAAGTGTCTCAAGATGCTCAGCCTGCTGCCGGAGTCTTGGCTGCAATTTATAAGCGGACTCAGCTTGCCACAAAACCAAAGTCAATGGACATTGGAGTGGATTCGCACCAAGATTCTGGAAGAAGATTTTCGTCGCTATACACTGCGCGGAGGTGATGACAGCACCAGCGGCTATGCCATGCAAGGGACATGGAGGGATCGAGGGCGTGGCAATCGCGGTCGCTCTTACCACAGCCAAGGTGGTCGCGGGACTTGGAACCAGCGGGGGCGTGGTGGCGCTGGTGCAAGAGGAAGAGGTGGTCACTCCAACAATGACAACAGTGAACCACGCTTGAGGGGAGAGTGCTGGTATTGCAAGGAAGAAGGGCATCCATGGTTTCGCTGCCCTACCAAGCCCGACTGGTGGACCCCTTGGAACCAATCGCAGAAGGGGAATGGAGGAAAGCAACCACATGGAGGTGCCAACATGGTAGCTGATCCTGCTGAAGAAACCTCCAAGGATGACAGAGGAATGGGAAATGAGGAGAGGAATGCTGGACAGTTCTACCATGTGTGTGACAAAGATGACAGTGGCACAGCTGTTGCAAGGGCTGGAGAGGAATTGCACCCGCTTGACATGTGGGTCATGGACTCTGGTGCTGCATGGACAATGACACCACGCAAGGACTTGCTGGATGCTGTGCGAGCGCCTCCAATCTCTGAAGTGCGCTCAGCATCCGGACATGCAGTGAAGGTCGCTGGAGTTGGTCGAGCTGCATTCAGAGCACCTGATGGTGGACTGGTTGTGCTGAAGGACGTGTTACTCGTACCGGGGCTGAAGGCCAATCTGATATCGCTGCGCAAGCTAGGCCAGGCCGGAGTCAGCACCACCACCAATGGATCCAAAACATTCAAGGGGCTGCGAGGAGATCGTGTGTTATGGGATTTACACGAAAGCAGAGATGTCTTCAGATCCATGTGGCAGATCCCTGCACTGATATGGGAATCAACAAAGAAGGAGTTGGGAGAAGTAAAGGCGGGTTCTGGAGTCCAGGGGGAGTGTAATGCAGTTAGTGCTGCAGGAGTGACGGTTTCTGCAAGGTCGGGGGAGACTGATTGGGAAACCGCACACAGGCGTCTAGGGCATGTGGCTATGCCATTGCTGCAGCAACTGCATAAGGAAGAAGCAGTAAAGGGGCTCAAGCTTTCTGGGCAACCAAATGATACCAAGTGCGAGACGTGTCTGCTGAGCAAGTTCACACGGTTCCCCTTTCACGGCGTAGCTGGGAAAAGCAAGGCAGCACTGGAACTGGTGCACATGGACCTGGTAGGACCTTTTCCAGTCCGAGGAAGTAAGGGGAAAAGGTACTTCCTGACAATAGTTGATGACTGGAGTCGGCTGATGTGGGCATACCCGTTGAAGCAGAAGGATCATGCTGCCTCAACAATACGAGATGATTGGCTGCCGTTCGTCGAGCGACAATCTGGGCACCCATGCAAGAGCATCAGAACCGACCGAGGTGGAGAGTTTCTAGGAGGAGATCTGACTGCGTGGCTCAAGAAACAAGGCATTGAGCATCAGCTAACGACGTCCTATACCCCTCAGTCAAATGGCGTTGCTGAGAGGGCTAATAGGACCATCCTGGAAACTGCGCGAGCGCTGCTGATCGAATCAGGGCTGGGGAACTCCATGTGGCCTCATGCGGTGAGGCATGCTACAGTGGCAAGGAACCGCGTACTCACAAAGGTGGCTGATGATATGTGGGTGCCGCTGGAGAGGTGGCTTGGAAAGAAGCCTCCAGTGGACATGCTTCGAGTGTTCGGATGCATGGCAGTGGCGCATGTCCCTAAACCGTACAGGACAAAGCTTGGAGCATCTGCACTTTGGTGTGTGCACCTTGGGCTTGCGGCAGAGAGCAAGGGGTGGCTACTCTGGCAGCCCTCAAAGAATGTGCTGTTTGACAGTCGGGATGTCAAATTTGTGGAGAACATCATGTATGGCAAGTGGGAGAAGCAGCCGGAGGCAAGGGTCACCCAGCAGCTGGAAGAGATCACTATGCACTTCGATCTGTCCGAACCTGCGGACAGCGAAGTCACTGCGCCAACGGCAAGCGGTACTGATGAAGGAAGCAATGAGGATATTGCAGCTGATGCTGAAGTCAATGATCCGGAGCAGCAGCAGCAAGAGGCTTCCAAAACACCAAGTCTGCCAAAGCGAAGGAAACAGATTGGTGGGGGGACGAAGGATTGGGTGAAGGTGAAAGAATGGGTAAATCCAACCATCTACCCTGCACGTACCAGAATGGCAACGAGAAAGCTGTTGAGCTCCACAAGTGGAGGAGCCACAACTGAGCAGCAGGAACAGGCTCAAGGCGAAGATGCAGTGCTGTTCTTGGGTGATGACCAAGAGTCAGATGACGAGGAGCCTGCATACTGCTTTTACGCACCAATACAACCTCCGAGCATGGATCATGCGCTAGCCGGGCCTCAACGGGGGAAGTGGCTCGTTTCAAGAGCTGCAGAGTACAACAGCCAGATGGAGAATCACACATGGGACCTGGTGTACTTGCCAAATGGGAAGAAGGCAATACAGTGCAAGTGGCTGGCAAAAATCAAGACGGATGAGAAAGGAGAGCCATCAGTTTACAAGAGCAGGCTGGTGGCAAAGGGGTTTCAGCAGAAAGAGAAGGAAGATTACAAAGAAGTGTTTGCCCCAACTGCTAAGTCTCCAACGCTACGTGTGCTGCTGGCGGTAGCTGCTGTGCGCAAATGGAAGGTGAAGCAGATGGACATCGTAACCGCTTTTCTGTACGGCATTGTGGAAGAGGAGGTGTACATGGTTCAACCACCTGGCTATGAGGATGGAACCGGTCGTGTCTGCAAACTTAACAAGGCCATCTATGGCTTGAAGCAGGCCCCGAGATGCTGGTACAACAGGCTGGCCAGTGCACTGGAAGGGATTGGATTCCGTGCGAGTGCATGCGACGAGAGCCTGTTCCTGATGGGAGAGGGGGAATCACTTGTGCTTCTGCTGGTGTACGTGGATGACATCCTGCTCTTCAGCAGCAGTGACAAGGAGATCGATGGGGTGCAGCGGAAGCTCACAGAGCAGTTCAAGTGCAAGTCACTTGGAGAGGCAATGTACTACCTGGGAATGCATATTGAGCGGGATACTGAACGTGGCTGGCTCAAACTGCATCAGGGACAGTACATCAACACCTTGGCTGAGAAGTACTCTCTGCAGGAAGAACGGGAAGTGGTCACACCTTTGCCTTCCGAGTTCAAACTCATAAAGGCAGCTGAAGGAGAAGGAGTTGAGAGTGAAGACCAGAGGCAATTCCAATCCATGGTCGGGAGCCTACTCTACGCTGCTGTGCATACTCGGCCTGACATCAGCTTTGCTGTGGGACAGCTGGCTCGAGTAGTGCAAAATCCAACAGAAGAGCAGTGTGGTGCAGCGGAGAGAGTGGTGCGCTACCTCAAGTCATACCCTACAGTGGGAGTACAGTATTCAGCCTCTGCTCAACTCAGGCAAAAAGGAGTTGAAGTCCTTCAAGAGAAGGGGGAGCAGCTCGGAGAAGGAAAGGTGTTCCTTTCCTGTTTTGCTGATGCCACGTGGGCTTCTGAGCATGAGGATTCATCATCAGTTGGTGGATACATCTGCATGGTGGGAGGTGGGCCTGTAAGTTGGAGGTCCAAGAAGCAGTCTGAGACGGCACTATCTTCAGTGGAATCTGAGTACATGGCGATGTTTCATGCGGCAAAAGAAATCATCTGGCTAAGGAGGCTCTTGAAGGAGATCGGCCATGAACAGACTTGTGCGACACCTCTGTTCAGTGATAGCAAGGGAGCCATTGCCATGGCACGCAATGCAGTTCTTCATGGGTTGAACAAGCACATGAGGATCAAGTGGCATTGGCTGCGGAAGGAGGTGAAGCTTGGGACACTCGATCCGATCTACGTGAAAACTCAGCAACAGCCAGCCGACTTCCTTACCAAGCGGCTAGCTGAAGAGCCACACTGGTGCTGTGCGAGGATGGCGGGAATGTCCTTGAACTAGAGACGGCGAAACAAGCCGACAGTCTGAGGGGGAGTGTGTTGGTGCATATTCATTTGCACGTCATCCTGTCGTCTGTTCGCATCATTTCGTTTGC